TAGCTATATACACTGTACATACATGTATATATGGATGATGATGTTGTCTTGAAAAAATTTCATGGACATATTAGTTCGAGACAAAAATTTGGAAAGACAAATAGGTGAAAATCCTGTAGTTTTTGCAAAATCTTTAAAAATAATCCAAAATTTGGAATGATATGGAAAGTACCGACACGTGTTCGTTTCGACTTTTGTTTACAAAAAAAAATGTCACGTGATTATTCAATGATGTCAGATTCATTATCCGCCATCTTTATGTGTACCGTACAAATTCCTCATCATAGCCATTTACCCTGTATAAACTTGAACAAATTGAAGATATGTTCATGGTTACATTTTATATACAAAGATATTGCAAATACAGATAATTCAGAAATTATTAAATGGTTAGATATTAAAATCAGAGAAAAATGTCAGTGACCCGTATCGTCAAGGTTCACATTTTTGTCCATTGTCTACATTTCTAAGAAATGGGAATGTTACTTACCGCTCTCAATGACAAAGGTCAACAGCACCCATACAAATGAATTGTCAATAATGCTCAACATGCTCAACAGAATTTCTGAAAACAAACGTCGAAGAAGTCTCATTCATGGGATTTTTTTGGCGGGATAGATCCTTACTCACTATCGGATTTTATGTAACAACATTATATAGACGTTCATTTAACAATCTGTCAGTGTTTTCTCTTCTTCTGATATATAGTTTCAGCTTCATTTAAAATTGAAGATTACATTAGGATTAATATATAACCTTTAGAGTAGCTGCACTGAGGAATTACATTTTAGCGGAGGAACTGTATTTACAGATATGTTGTGTGAATCTTAGGGATCACCTCAGTAATTCCACCAATCAGCGGAATTTTAACTTTGGGAATATCTATTTTTAATGCAATTTTTTGCACACTTAAATAGGAATGATTAAAAAACGGAATGTTGTTAGTAGATACAAAACAGAAAATGATGAACACTTTAAGCAAAAGATGAATTGGATCGGGGTTCTGTGTACTCACATTATTTGTACAACTCTCCTTACTCTTGGTAATTTTTGGAATTTCCGTGACCTAAATGGTTCGCGAAAATTAATATTTTTATATATAGTATAGTAACTATGCTATTAACGCAGTCAACATGCATATTGACCGTATAAATATTTGAGATATACACTCACTGATCGTATATATAACGTCTTGGTTTTGACGTTGATAATGTGTTTCTTAGAGTTTTATTTATCTCAATAAAGAATACAGGTTCGCGGAATTGCTATGTCGTTCGCTTCAAATGTAGAATGGTTGGTTTTTATCCGAAATATTTCATTTTAAACAGTTGTAAGAGTTGTATTTTAAAGAGAACAACCATATATTGACTCGAAACGTCAATTTTTATTTATACTGCGCTCGGTAGAGCCTCGCATTCTACATGTTTCTAAATCTTGCAGAGACAAATTTTATATTTTGAGACAAGATATGGTTATCCTATATGTATTAAACGGAGTGTTCATATAGTTGGAAATAAGATATGAGAACGGTGTGCATGAGACCGCATGAATTCTTTAGAAGTAGTAATGAGTCTTTTGTAGAAAAAACGCGCGTCTGGCTTACACAATTTTAATCCTGGTATCTATGATGAGTTTATTTACATGTTTCGACAAATTGATTCAAAGGCAGTTGTAAAAAGAGGTCATCTAAATCTAAACTGTGTCAATTCCTACAGAAAATTGAATAATAAAGAGTGAAGATATATGTAACATACTGAAATATATTTTAAAAATTTCACATATTTCCATAAACTCAAAATACTCTTCATCGCGCTATATAATGATGGTGAAGGAATTTGGATACACAATTGCCAATATTACTTGTTTTTGTAAAATTTTACGAGGAACGTCATTAGCCAAATTGATTTAATTTATATCCGAAACAAAAATCATAGTTTTACTTTCAATATAATGAAGGTTTTGGTTTACGGTGTCCATCTTATACATTTTTGGGATGAATACTCAAATTCTGCTTTTTGTTTTATATAAAATATGATTTTTTTCACCCAATTTTCTTTTCAGTTAATTCTTTAATGCTACAAAATTACTGGTCTGTTTCGCATTTTTGTTCTATCTATATAGTTTTTTAACATCATTATAAGGTTTCTTATGTTTTTTTTTCTGTTTTCTCTAAGATCCCAAAAATAAACTACATAATTTCTATGCTAAGTAGAAGTTCAATGTGCACTTTTGTACATGTCCATCTATTTAAAAAGATATTCCCATACGTCAAATACTTTTGGTCAATTCGAGAAAATTTGTTCCATGGTTTCTTTTGAGTCCACACAGAAAGTATTTTTGTTGCTTTGTATAACTTCATTTGCGCCTCTCCTTTTATTCATATTCATGAAATACTATCTATGTAGTAACAACCCAAGATAAGAGAATGTATTACACATACTTTTGCCCTTTCTAAGTACTCAGATTCGAAAATCGAGTGAAGAAAGGTCATCATAAAAATAAGGGTGTGTGGTAAATTGCAAAAAGACAAATATGAGCAATTACCGTCTATTATATTACTATTAGATGTCTTGCCTAATTGGTGCGCGACTCTACGCATATGGAATAAAAGTCATTTGTAACTATTTAATCAACTATTATTTACCTCTGGAGTAAATGTAATGAAGCTCCTATATGGTAATTGTCAATGGGTTTACAGCATATATACTATTATAAAATAAAGTTGTTACAATTCAGTATGAAAAGAGGAATATCAAAGAGAAAATTAAAATAATTGTGTTTACTTACACACCCATACAATGTTACGCTGCGTTTAGTATTCCATAAAAACTGCCGTAACCAGTTAAATATTAAACTACATCTTACTGTTGCCTCTCGACTGAACAAGAATCCGATTGGTCAACGTTAAAGAGAATTTGTCAACGTATATTTGTTCAGCATAACAGAAGTTTCCTTGTACAATTTGTTATAAATAATAATATTTATATTTGTTCCTGTTATATTTGTTCCAGGGAAAAAAATATTCCTGAATATTGCTTCGATTAGGAACATATGATGATAAAAGAACTTCTATTTCATGACAAAGCATCTGTTCAATATTTTATTTTCAAAATACGATCTCGTCTAGAAAAACATACTTTCGATCTCTAATCAGATTGACTAGAACTTCATTTCTATAAATACAACAAACCGAGCTTAGTAAAATGAAAATCAAAGAGTTTGTTTTAAAAAAAAGCATTTTTTTTCATATTGATGTAATGAATTTGATTTGTGTAGTCCCATATTTTATCATCAAACAGTCAGTTTGCAAATCTGTCAATCGTTTCTATTGTATCATGCATCTGTTGACCTTACCTATCAACAGAGAGTTTACAAAAATCAAAAGAAACTATAATTGAATATTGTAAGTATAAAGATGTATTTGATTGATTGATTGATTGATTGGTGATTGCTTTAAATCGTATCAGCACAAAAATCTATATCGCGGCGAAAGATGTATTTCCAACAAATATGTTGTTGAAATTTTTTTATGCTTGCCGACATTTTTTTCCGGAAGCATAAACATGCAGGTGTCGCTTTGTCCATCCGCCATTTTCCCGTTCTCCCGTTCGTCCTTCCTATCGTTCCTATTGTTACATGCATCTGTTGACATATTCACCTTAACAAAGAGAGTTTATAAAATTTAAAAGACCGAAAATGAATTAAATATTTTAAACTAAAGTATAAATATGCTTTTACAAACAATGATGATGTTAAAAAGATATATCTTTTTATCCTCTCGGAAAAAAAATTCAGGAGCATATATATGGTCGTCGTTTTGCCCATCAGATTGTGTTTTCGTTCGTCGTTTCTTCCGCCTGATCTTCCATTTTTCTTTCTGTCCGTCCTCCCTTTTTGCAAATGAGACAACTGCCATTAATCAAAGAACAAAGATGTGAGTAGTCCGCCCGCCCATGTGTTCGAAATAAATGCTTTCCGGACGGTGGCTCGAGTTTCCCTTGCTTGATTTGAACTAAACGTTTATAGGTGGAAACATAGATGGGGAACAGAATCCTATTGGTTTCCTATTGGGATCAATTTTTCAAAGTTCAAGGTCACTATTACTAAGTTAAAATTTGTTTAGAAAAAAATGCTTTCCGGATTATAACTTGAGTTTCACTTGCATAATTGGAACGAACCTTAAATTTATGTTAGATATAGCAAAGGGAAAGTATCATATTTTGATTTGGGGTCCAGTAATGTCAAATTCAAGATCACTTTTAAAAATAGATCTGTTCGAGAGAAAATCTGGTTCAAAGCTGTTTAGATAGACTTAGAATATAGAATATAAAAGTAGAAATTGCTATTGGTTGTTTCTGTTTGATTTATTGATGTACACTTGTTGGCGTTCATAAACTTTAACAATACACTCATCAATGATACCAGGATTAAAATTTTGTACGCCATGTGGTTATAAGTAGGAAAGGTAAGAAGCCAATCTAGCCCAGTATTTAGGTTCACATACCAGATTAAAATGTATTGCAATTTCACCGTAATCTTGGTCTCTTATCACAAGAATTTTGGTTTCTTTTCTTCAGAATCTTAGTTCTTTATGAATAAACTCATCATAGATAGATACTAGGCTGAAAACAAAATATTTATTTGCCAGACGCGTGTTTCGTCTTCAAAAGACTCGTCAGTGACGCTCGAATCAAAAATATCTGAAATACTTTTATTTTATAATTTTAAGCAATGTTTTGGCATGTACCCCCAGACCATATGTACATTGTATATATTTTTCAAAGAAGTGCACCAAAATGGTGATGACCAGCAATGATTTTTTTTATGGGAGCCTCGGTTTTTATCTTTGCTGAAACACGAACCTTTAACTGCTGCGTTCTAAAACATCTCATAAATTGCCATTTTAACGATATATGCATTTTGAAAGTCTTTGGAAAATATTACCAGTGAATTTAAGGTCAATTTTAATGCACAGAACATATATGTCTGATTTCTTGTAGGACTAGCGAACCCAACTGACTATGAGCCACCATTAGATGGAATGCCATATACAACTCTTTCATATGGTAACGGACCTGGTGTTAATTTTACAAGTGGGAAAAGGCCTAATCTGACAAACGTTGATACAAGTAAGTTTATTTTTATAGTTGATAGTTGAATATTTTGAATCTGATATATAACTGATGTAATTTGTCAAAGTATAAATAAATGGATGCTTAAGACAATGCAAATAAGGAGAGAAAAGAGGCAAAGACCGAAGGATAACATGAAAACAATTACAAATATTTGCCTATTCATTCCCCGATCTGTAGGTCTATTGATGATTTAAATCATAGTCTACAAAGTGAAAAACATTGTTTAATAATGTGTTTAAAAAATGTCGACATCAATGCTTTAGCGATAATGAGGACCAATTTGCAAAGGAAAGCTACATATTATAACAAAATAATGTCCACTTTAAACAGTGAATAAAAACTTGCCAGTCAAAATGTGAAGTCAAAACTAAATATACGTTGCTGTGCTTATTGATAAGGCTGAAATTTGACTTTTGTTTTGCTTCCGATTGTGATTGTGCTAGTTCCTGACAAAGCAAATGAAAACAAAACACTTATTAAATTTGGTGCATCCGTAGCAATTTTCTGGAACGCTCAATTCTAACATTGAGAAGGAAATCATATATCAATACTTGAATACTTAAGGAGCTTAAAGAATAGTCACAATCCAATATTGGTAATATTTGAATGAGAAAGCTGGAACTTTATTTCTTGATAATATCTACATTAATCAACAGAAAATTGAACTAAGTATGTTATAAATCATGTCAGTACCAAAACACTGATTTCTGAACTGTTGATATCCTCCGGGACTAGCAGTCCATCAGCATCCCCAGTGCAAGAAAATGAAAATGATACTTGATGAATTGGGTACGTCCGATACGATTTTATACTACATTTTACTTGAAAATGTAAATAAGTTCATAATCCGCCCAGTAAATAATAAGTGCACTCATACCACATCTTCTTATATCTATTTAACCCAATAAGGACGTATCAATTGCCATATCATCAGATGCATAACAATAAATAGTAAATTAGATTTAGAGGATACAGTAACCGAGCGCAAACGACGAAATTAAAATCGAAATACAGATGATAAGAACAGGGATTAGACAAATCTATGACACTTAGCAATGACAGATGTATGCGGATCCGAAAAAGGAAACACGTATCAGTAGAGAGTACATAAAACGAAAAGATTTCGCAAATTGATCTCCAAACATAACTTGAAATGATAACATTGTTCCTATTACCTGCTATATTCTTTTTCAAATATCTTTTCCATTGTACATTTTGTTGAGTATTTATATGATGTAATTGTTTAACTTAATTTAATTATTAACTAAGGACAATAAAAAGACGGACAATCTTTTTTTTCCAAAAATACAAGTAAACGTCCTGCTTTCTGAATATTTACCTTTGAAACATTGTAGCTACCTTCGATTACATACCTCAAGCTGCAGTCCCAGTAGAATATGAAACACATGGAGGTGAGGATGTCCCTATATTTTCCAAAGGACCAATGGCACACTTGCTTAACGGTGTAAAGGAACAACATTATGTTGCCCACGTGATGCAATATGCAGCTTGTGTTGGGGACTTTAAAGATGACAGCCATTGTAAAAATACGGAACCTAAACCAACATGTTCTGCTTGTTTGATTACATGGGATCGAGTCACATTTTTCCTGAGTTTAATAGGGATTTACCTTCAACAGTTTTATTTTGTGTGATTGTTTTTAATGTTGTGTAATCTTATAACAAGCATTCATTGAATTGTCCATTTGGCACAACCGCTGGTGACAACAAGTATGTTAATTATTTGTATTTTTGTATTTTGTATTTAAATTGTGAAAACTGTCCTATCATCTCAAACCAAAACCAACACATGTATAAATCAGAGGTTTAAATCATTTCTCCTTTTTTTAATCTTGATTTTATGTTTTCATTATTTCACCAGGTAAGTCATTATTATTATCTCTTATGTGTCTGGTTTCCCGTCCTGCTGATCAAGTGTAGGAAAAAACCTACAAATCTGTTCAATTATCTCATTAGTAAAATCATCGCCATCAGTTTTAATTTTCTCAGTTGTAACTAAGCATCCACTCACTTTCTATTCTTTGTCTCTCTTAAATTTGTCAATGCTTTAGTGTTTTGGCTTCTAGTTAATTATGTTTTTTTTTTTATTTTCAAATCGCAACCCGAATTTAAGTTCTACATATTTTTTTGTTATTCTTTTTTACTATCTTCGAAATCGTTAAAAAGTCATAAATTGACGACTCGATGTAGTCGATGAGTGACGATTTCATGTCAAATATGGGTTTTAAGCATTGCCAGTTTATGGTTTCTTTTTCTTATTTCCTTTGTAATATGTGATGATCCAACGTGTGGTAAAAATCAAATGGCCAACATTAAAAAAGACTAGCCGTACTGTGTCAATACTTTACAAAAGAAAATGATATTTTGCAAAAATTGCTTATCACAGCCTAGCCTTTATTGAAGAGAAATAAAAACCTTACCCGTCCGATACGTATTTATTTTAAAGTTGGAAAAAATACTTTACTTTTGGCTATAGTTCGTATTGTATTGCAATATAATTCATCATCAAAACTGTAGAGAATCCGACCGTAGAGAACAGGTACAATATTTAACTTAAGGATAAGAAAAATGTTTTAAAATATATTGTTAATATCAGCTTCAGTACAGATGTCAAGCTTTTAACTGGGATATTTGAATGGCCCAACAATAAAGAAATGCGTGATAGCAAGTTAGAACATTAACGGCATTTGAAGGCACTACTGGTGTTATATGATAGCTAAATTACACTGATTACAAAAATATATAGTTTCTTTAGTGTTTTTGCTTGAAATGAGGAATTCAATTTGCTACTTCCGGTTTATACAATGTCACTCCGGTGTCGTATGCGTGGTTACTTTCTGTTGATTCCAAAAATTTATGGTATCTATGTACTTTTGCATGAAATTAGTACAAAAATGGCTACTTCCGGTTAACCGTTGTCCAGGTTATTCGTCTCTTGGCCGACAGCAAAAGACCCCATGGATTTATCATTTACTAGTATAAAACTTTCACCTCTTAATTATATAATAGAGTCTAAAAAGGGAAATAACTTCTATGAACGTCATCGGATTGGTTTAAACTAAGGTATCAAATATTTGCTATAATGTCCCAATTGTTTTGCTGCAATTTGTTCTTTGTTTCACTCCTTCAATTTAAGTGCAATAACATGACATGCCAAAGATAAAATCAAAAGACCCCATGTTTCTAATATGTATGTATTTAAAAACAAAAATCTTTAATTAGATATTTAACGGTAAAAAAAAGTACAAAAGTATCCAGAGGGCTCCACCTAAATTTATTGTCGTTGCGTCAAGTTAAAACTTTCAATTTGACAAAAATCATTTGTCAATAATTTTTCTAGTCATGACCTTGACCATGACCTCAATTTCTCCTTATGGACCATATGCTACCAAAGAGCTCATATCAAAATATTTTAGGCCACTATGACTTACAGTTTATGAGTAACATCGATGTCTTTTATATAGAATAAAAACTGGAAGTAAATTTTTTTCGAAATACTAAGGATTTTCTACCACAGGAATAGATTACTTCAACTTTATTTGGCAAAACCTTTCGGAATATTTGGTCCTCAATGCCCTTCAAATTCGTTCTGTGATTCGAGCGTCACTGATGACTCTTTTGTAGACGAAATGCGCATCTGGCGTACAAAATTTTAATCCTGGTATTTATGATGATTAGATATAAGAAGATGTGGTATGAGTGCCAATGAGACAACTCTCCATCCAAGTCAAAATTTATAAAAGTAAACCATTATAGGTCACAGTACGGTCTTCAACACGGAGCATTGGCTCACACCGAACGGTAAGCTATAAAGGGCCCCAGAAAATTACTAGTGTAAAACCATTCAAACGGGTAAACCAACGGTCTAATCTATATAAAAAACGAGAAACGAGAAACACTTATGAACCACATCAACAAACGACAACTACTGAACATCAGATTCCTGACTTAGGACAGGTGCATGATGAGTTTATTTATATACATCTACCAGTTGATACGATAATCCAGAGCTTGCATTTCCTATCATTATTTTCTTGATTGAGGGTTGCTACTCCCAAGGAAGCTATTGCATCAGAGTTCCAAGTGGGAAAGTTGAAATCATTCCTTCGAAAATTTTACGAACGCCATTACGAGTTGGTTGACCATTATGGAATATATGTTTCACAAATGACGACGAATATGTTCCAGTTGTCGTATCAACAATCCCGCTCTCTTTTCCTCGAAAATGACCTAACGAATAAGACTCATAACCGGGTTTGTGCTTACATAAGTAACACGACGGGTGCTACATGTGGAGCAGGATCTACTTACCCTTATTAGTACTTATTAATTTATTTCGTTTATTGTCTTAGTGATGTAAGGACTTATAATTTGGGAAGTTAAACGAATAACTAAGCAACCGGTCTATTTGTGACGAAAATTATAAAGTTACCTTAAGTATGCTACGAAGTTCTAAGTTTGTCTGTTAGGAAGTCGGCAAATGATTAAATCCATTAAATGTTCACATAACAAATTCTACTTTCACTTTCGTTTGTTAAAGAAGTACGCTAATTACGGTTGTAATACGGAAAACGATTTCCGATGTTTTGGTACTGGTTCCGATCCTTTCTAGTTAAAAATTAAGTGCTTGATATTAAAGTACTATAGGCGTTACATTAAAACATAATAGTAATGCGGAATATGTTTATTTCTGTTTAGAGATTATATGCATTTTGGTTAGAGATTATCCTAGTATATAAGTAGAGTTTCTCACAGCGTTAGGAAGTTCGGTCGTCAAAGCTCGCAAAGTAAAGACTAAAGAAAAGGTAATTATAACTATTTCTGAATAAGAAGTAGCTTACCAAGGACCTTTGGTTAAGCTTTCATAAGCAAGAGCCAATTGTACTATCTGAATAAGGTGGTGACATATTGTCCTGTGGTATATAGTTAAGGTGACAACGTAATACTGTCCCTTTGGACCAGTGACACCTTGGCCCTGAACAAGGACCAGGGACGCACTGGAAATCATATTTTCATATTACCTTTGAATCAAAGAACTAAAGTACTGTAAGGCAAATAGGTTAACAGTCATATATCTAATTTTGAAGTAAGGTTAAGTCACAGTTCCAATAAAGCGTCCCTTGTGTTGTACTCCATTGTTAGGTTAAGGGTTCCATTTAGTATACTTACCGGAAGTAATCTTTTTATTCTCGCTAGGCTTTTATATCTAAAGTTAATTTAAGTATAGGAAACACGTTACCATTTGTAAGGGTTAGCCAACGATACACAACAAATCCAGGGAAGTAACCCTGGTACGGATCTACGGGTACATAAAGTACCATCTGGCGTGTAGGACCCCCTGCACGTTACAGAATTTGGTGGCAGCGGTGGGATTTGTTCGCTGTATTGTTGGTTATTTAGATATATCAGTCAGTATATAGTCAGACCTCAGTTTTCTTTATAGATATAGATAAAGCCGCAAATTTGTCTGCCCAATTGTCTAGGCTTGAGAAAAATCTTCAGGACACCTTGTCAAGGAGTCGTCATTCACATTCTACACCCATTCCCGGGTTTGCAAGTGACTCAGGGATTATTACTACACAGCGTAATGACCAAACGTCTGTTGACAAAACAACTCCGATTCAAAGTACCCCAGTTGGTCCACATTATATAGGTATTGGCGCAAGACCGAATGTCTTCCAAGATGTAGGAGCCTAAAATCAGTTGAAACCTCATGATATTCAAATTGTTAAGGAAAACCCCGTCAACTTGTCCGATAAGAAGTCACCAGCGAAGGCCCCAGGGAAAAGCATGAGTAAGCGTAGAGATATTAAGGTTGCAACGTACGATGGGTCAGGTGATTGGAATGACTACCGGTCACATTTTGAGGCATGTTCCTCTATTAACGGTTGGGATAACCTAGAGAAAGGGTTATACTTAGCGGCTTCCCTAAGGGGTCAGGCTCAAGGTGTTCTTGGGGACTTGTCAGATGACAAGAAAATTCATTTTGACCAGTTGGTTCGATCTCTAGAAGAGAGGTTTGCTCCCCCAAATCAGTCCGAGTTGTACAGGGTACAATTGAAAGAAAGGAAGCAGAGGGCTTCAGAGTCGCTTCCTGAGTTAGGACAAACGATACGCCGGCTGGTGAATAAGGCGTACCCCACTGCCCCAGGGGAAGTCAGAGAAACATTGGCTAAAGAACACTTCTTGGATGCATTGATTAATACCGAAATGCGTATAAAAATCAAACAATCACGGCCCCTTGACCTTAATTCCGCTATTTGTTTAGCTATAGAGTTAGAAACGTTTTACAAGGCAGAAAAGCAATTTGAAGTAGGGAAATCCCATTTAAGAGTTGTAGAAAATAATGAACAGGTGGTAAGAGAGTCGGAGTCTCATGATAGGTTGTCAGATAAATTTGAGGGCATGTTAGCAGCTCTCAATGATGAATTGGCAAGTATGCGTAAAGAGTTAGATGAATTTAAGAATAAAGCCAACATGCCTGGGCCAGCTGATAGGTCGAAGTTTCTTTGCTTTAATTGTGGTAAACCCGGCCACATGGCTAGAAATTGTAATGCTCCTATAAATAGGAGACAGAACAACCAAGGATCGCCAGGACCTTCGGTTAGGCGTACGAACAAACGTAGTGGTAAACGGAAATATAAAACTTTGTACCTCGGCTCAAATATACATAACAATGAGGCAGGGCTCTATGTAGAGTTATTTATAAATGGAATCCCTGCCAAGTTTCTTATTGATACAGGAGCTACAGTTAGTTTGGTATCGGATACTCTTTTTGAGAAATTTAAGTCCCATGATAGGCCAAGTGTACGACAGGTCACTCAAGAAATTACAGTAGCCAATGGCGAGTCTTTAAAAATCATTGGTAAGGCACTGTTTTCTGTTAAGTTGGGAAGCTTTCACACGGTCATTGAAGGTGTTATAGCAGGTTTGTCAGTGGAAGGTATTCTTGGACTAGATTTTCTGCAAACAAACGGTTGTAAAGTTGATTTAGGCAATAATGTAATGGAAAGGGATAATCAACAGATACCTTTATTACTACAGGGAAAGTTAGGCGTTTATCGGGTGGCAGTCAAAGATAAAGTTAGCATAGCCCAAGGTCCGAGGTATTAATCCAGGGCGAAGTACTGAACTATGATTCAGCTGTTAAGGTTACTGGCATTTTTGAACCAAATGAAGAATTTCTTGAACGAGGAAAGGCTCTTGTAGGGAAGTCTGTTGTAACGTCTGATAAGACAGTTCATGTTAGGCTGTTGAATAAAAGTGACAGTGTCCAAGTTTTAAATGTCGGTACTGTGGTCGGAAATCTCAGCGGAGCTGAAGTGGTTAGTCAGGTAGACAATGACAAGGATTATGCTCTTAAGAATGAATTGGAAAAGTGATTAGATAGGTCTAGTGAGAATCTTGGACATAGACAAAAGGACAAGGTCACAGAGTTGTTATTGGAATTTAAGCATCTTTTTGCCGCTTCGGATTCGGATCTTGGACAAACAAATATTGTGAAACACAGGATTGACACTGGTGCTGCAAGGCCAATAAAGCAGCCACCACGGCGCACCCCAATAGGTCTTAGGGAAGAGGTAGATCGACATATTAACGATATGTTGGAAAGAAACATTATTGAGCCTTCGGAAGGACCATGGTCCTCCGGGATAGTTTTGGTTAGAA